GGGTCAGAATCAGATGAGTCCAAGAGCTTCCCGGAAAAGACCACTCTGAAAAGGTTCCCATTTGAAGGTCTTGGACAGAGTGGGGGATGCGGAAGAGATCTTGAAATCAGACCAAACAGACAAGGCGTACCGGTTGGATGGAGACAGTGAAGGCCCTGAGACCACGGCCCTTAGTCATCCGTCTGGTCTGGAACAGGCTGGCCCCCACGGCTCAATGTTCCACCCAACAACAGACAGGTCCCTGCAGTCAGCAAGAACACCGGGAGGTCCAAACTCTTCAAATTATCCACCACTAGGGATCAAAAGCACAGCATTTGCGCAAGGACCAAGTTCAGGAGGATTAGGGCAAAGGGGGAGTGGAGGCGGGAGACCCAGGGAGGAAGAGGGGCAGCATCCGCCGTGGCTGCTGCAATCAATGGCATGAAACAAAACGTACGTGAAGCATCTGATTAGAAACTAGTTTGCTCTGTACACTTCGCCTTGTTCACAATAATAATAATACATTAATATGCATGCTTCTATAGAATAAAGGAATAATTAATAAACAAACGAGCACTGCCTTCTTAGAAGAGGATAATGCCACCAGTCATGGGAGAGGGTGGGGGGACAGCAAGAGCTCAGAGACGCCCTAGGGTGTGGGGTGGGGGCCAGTCTAAATTGACTGCCTTTTTTTTATACCAGCTTGGCTGAGATCGACTGAACACACCACACAGTCCACCCCTTTAGAATATACAACTCGTAGCTTTTAAGTATATTCAAAGTTGTCCAACCACCATAGCTTTACACACTTTATTACCCACCCACACCCCAAAACAAACACATGCCCATTATTAGTCACTTCCCCCTTGTTCCTTCAGCGTTCCTCTCTCCCCCCTCCCCCACCCTGCGGAGCCCCAGGCAACCACTAATCTGCTGTCTGCATCTGTGGATTTGCTTGTTCTGAACATTCCATATAAATGAACCCTACCACGTGCAATCTTTTCCAGCGGGCCTCTTTCACTCAGCATCGTGTTTACAAGGTTCACTCCTGTTGTTGCAGAAAATCCAAACTCCATCCCTTTTACTGGCCGAGTAATATTCCCTGTGCGCATAGTACCACATTTTGCATATCCATTCATCAGTTGGTGGGCCTTGGGTTGCTTGGCCCACCACCTTTTAAGGAGCAGCTTGGGGCTCTAAGTGCACAAAGTCTGCAGTCGTTGTCCTCTTTACTTATTTTTCATTAAAAGATTGTTTTGTTGGGGGGCTCTTAAAACCCTTGTAACAATCCATACATCAATTGTATCAAGCATATTGATACATATGTTGCCATCATCATTTTCGAAACATTTACTTGCTATTTGAGCCCTTGGTATCAGCTCCTCTTTTTATTCCCTCCCTCCCCCTCTCCCACCCTCGTGACCCCTTGATAAATGATAAATTATTATTATTTTCATATCTTACACCGACTGCTGTCTCCCTTCCTCCATGGTTTCTGTTATCATCCCCCCCAAGGGTGTGTGTGTGTGTGTGTGTGTGTTGATCATTGCGATGAATTCCCTCCTTCTCCCCTCCTCTCCCCACCTTCCCCCTAGCAGTTGCCCTCTTTAGTTATATTCTAAAATATTAAATAAGAAAAAAACCCACTGCCATCAAGTCAATGCTGACTCACAGAGATACCTCCCCGCCCCCCCTTGGGTTTCTGAGACTGTAACTGTTTACGGGAGTAGAAAGCACAGCCTCTCTCCTGAGATTCTAACATATTAGATTCCTTCACATTTTGGCTCACCAAGGAGACTCAGAGAAGTTTGGTATCTGGCTGAAGGACACACGCTTGTAAGTGATGGAACCAGGAATCAAACCCAGGCTATTCTAAGTGCTTGCTTTATTTTTATTGTCTTTATTAGGGTGGCCGTATCATTCATTGTCCCAACTGGGATGGTTTTACATCTGAAAAAAAGCGCCCTGTTCATCATGATGCCAGAACAAAAGCATAAATTATAGGAGCAGGGGCATGTGCCCCCCCCCACACACATACCCTACTCTTCCCTATCAGGGTACTCCTGTGTGTCAGGCAGAGAGCTAGAGAAGGAGCCCCCGTTCTGTCAGCAGGGCAGAGTGCAGGCCTGGGCCCCAGCCTTCCTGCGGTGAGTCATGTGGGATTGTCTACACAGCCAAGGGAACACCGCCGCTGAGGTTGAGGCTGTTGCTCGGAGGGCCCTGCTGGTCTCCAACACCAGTTACACGCTCCTCTGGGATCTGGTGGAGGGCAGAGCGGCCGTGGCGGCCCAGCAGGACCTGGAAGACAGGTGAGACCTCCTAGCTTGGGGTGGAAGCTGGGAGTTGGCTTCCTGGAGCTCCTGGGACCAGAACCAGCTTCTTGTCCTGAATCCTGTGTCCTGATGCTCCTGGGCTTTGTACCCCACTCAGAGGGGAACCCCAGGGTCTTGGGCCCCCTTGGTGATAGTTACAGGAGCTCTCTCATACCCGGGGTGGGGATGCAGCTCATTCTCAGAAAAGATGAGACCAGAACTGAACCAGGAGGTTCGATGAAGAGCCATCCCTACCTCTCCCCTTTGCAGCACCCCACAAGCCCCACCCCAAGCTCACAGGGCATCTCCTCCCAGTTTTCTCTGGCACCAGCTTCTGCCTCTGTGACCAGCGTGTCTGCTTCCCTTTATAGCCCTATTAGTTCCGTCAACACACCAATGTCTCTGAACTCCGGATTGATGTTCCTGAGAGACTCTCATTGGTCCAGCTCAGATCAGGTCTTCAGCCCCGAGCCAACCAGCTCAGAAGGGGCGAGGGCAGAGGGCCTCCTGCAGAGGCAGGGGGCCCTGACTCTCTCAGAAGGGGCGAGGGATGGGGAGGGAATTGGAGATCTATCACTCCAGCTGTACCTATGGTGTGGGGAAGAGGGCTGTGGGTGGATAACTGGGACAGGACAGGCAACCTGTTCTAGTTGGTTGATTTCAGAGCCACATGCCATCTGGGCTAAAGGGGATTATGGAGGTCATCCAGCCCATAGTATAAGTGGGAAACAATACGCCCAGGGTCACGCTGCAAGGGCACGACCCAGCCAAGACCAGGGCCTGGGCGGGCGCTGTCCTTTGCATCAGATCGTCTGGCTCTCCCCTGTCCCCCATTTCCTCTTTATGATTCATCCGGGGGAACCAACCATTGTCCAAATGTGTTTCCCAAATGGAAACGGGAGAGGGAGACGTTGCAGAATGGTGTGATTGAACTGAATGAATAGGGGAAGAAGTGGCCCTTTATCGCCTCTTGTGTTCATTTCAACACCAGCTGCTGGCTACCAACCCAGTCAAGGGCCTGGCCAGAGAGAAGTTGGGGAGACTCCAGCCCTGGAGCCGTGGGAGGAGGGACCCTGGGCTAGGCTCTGTGGGCTATTCTGCTTCTCTTCTCCTAGGTACCAGGAGGCCCAGGCGGCCCAGAAGTCCCTGAGCACAGCTGTGGCCAAGTTGCTGCCGGAAGCCGAGAGGATGCTGGCCTCTGTGCAGAGAGTCAGTTCGGATGGAGTCCAGAGCCTGGCCTCGTTGTCTGCCCTGGGGACACTGGTCAGCCCAAGCTCCTTGGAGCTCCACTTTGGGGTGGGGTAGGGATCTGACAACCAGAGAATTGTTCATATAGATTAATAATGATTATTATTGATTAGACTGTTAATTTTCAGAGCAGTTTTAGAGTCACAGAAATATGGTGCAGAAAGTGCAGGCAGCTTCCCTGTGCCTCTCTCAATTTCCCCTCTTTTAATACCTTGTGTGGATGTAGTCCATTTGTTTGCATTGATGAACTCTTATTGATACATTGTTATGAACTGAAGTCTCATTCGGGTTCACTCTCCAAAAACAACCGCTGCAATCTGGTTGATTCTGGTGCATAGCAGCCCCTCAGTAGGATTTCCCAGGCTATACATCTCTACTGCAAGAGCAGCCAGCCTCCTCTTTCTCCTGCGGAGCTGCTGGTAGGGTTGAACCACCACCCTTGTGGTTAGCAGCCCAACACTAACCCATATCACCACTGGGGCACGGTCCAGTGGATTTGCAGAAATGCGGAATGGCATGTACTCTGTCATGCGGGATAGTCTCACTACCTGGAAAATGCCCTGCGCTCCCGACTTGCCCTCCCCACTTTCCCAGCACAAACTGGACGCCACGGGTCGTTTTCACTGCCTCTGTAGTTTTGCCTTTTCCAACATGTCATGTAGTTGGAGGTGGCTGGTTTTCATGGACTCTAAAGCAGTCGATTCGAATGAGACCATTCACGGAGAGAACTCGGGAAGGCCCTTCTGGCACAGAGCCAGAGCTCAGCCAGTCTGGGTTGTTGATACTAAGATCGAGACAGGCCGCGGGCAGAGGCACCAGCCCTCCGAGAGGGAGTGGAGTCAGACGAACATGCCCTTCGCCATGCTGAGCCTCAGGGACGCTGTCTGTCAGTTGCAGCTCGCCTGGCTTTCGGGTAAGCCTTGGACTGCTAACTGCAAGATCGGCGGTTCAAACCCACTAGCCACTCCATGGAAGAAGGATGAGGCTGTCTGCTCCCATGCAACTGACAGCCTCAGAAACCCTGTGGGGCAGTTCCCCTCTGTTCTGTGGGGTCGCTTTGAGTTGGAATTGACCCTGTGGCAGTGGATCTTGTTTTCTGGAAAACCAAGAGGACCTTCCAGATTCCTCAGCCCTCCAGTCTACACGGGGATCTGAGTGGCTAAGAAAGGAGGAAAAGTACAACGGAGACGCACTTGGATTCCTTAGTGACCTTCAAGTTCATTTCAAACAGATGGGAAGACAGATAGGTAGGTAGGTAGGTAGGTAGGTAGATAGATGATAGATAGGTAGGTAGATGAAGGAGCCCTGGTGGCTCTGAGAGTTAAGCACTGGGCTGCTAATCAAAGGGTTGGCAGTTGGGGCATACCAGCTGCTCCTTGGGAGAAAGCGGAGGCAGTGTAAAGAGGCACAGCCTTGAGCCCCCTTAGAAGCAGGTCTGCTCTGTCCTGCAGGGTCACAGTGAGCCTGGTGTGACCCACAGGGGTGGGCGTTGACGAGTAAAGCATGTAAAACACCGGCTGGGCTCTGGCACCGGTGACCTCAGGCTTATTGGCTGCTGCCCGTGCCCCTGCAGTCATGACCGTGAGGACCGCCTCTGGCAAATGCCAAGTCCCCCCTCCCTCTCGGTCACCTTGAAATTCCACTACTGGGAAAACGAAGCTTTAAGAAAAGACCAATGTGGGTGATGCCAACGCTGAGAGTGATCCGCCATGAACTGACAGGCGGGGTGGGTTCAGTCCACCCAGAGGGACCTCCAGCAAAATACCTGGTGATCAGTGTCCCCCCAAATCAGCCACTGAACCATCTATCCCTCACAAGTTGGACTCAGCTTGGTGGCAACTGACGGTTGGTCAAGATCGTCACAGGGTGCTTGGAGCAAAACCTGGCCCTGACTGACCCATCAGGGGGACCGTTGCGTCTCGCACGGCCTGGGAAAAGCAATACGTGAGGCCTCAGGTGTTTGCTCTCAGGTGCCGTGCAGATGCTGCTGGGGGTGTTCGACAACACCCATTAGCTGCCTGCACAGCCCTGCTTTTCTGTAATCTCCAGAAAATCCTGAATTCGACAGTACAGCTGGCAATCCTACAGGACAGCTCTACAGGACGGTTCCAGCTACAGGGCTGGGGACCTGGGCAAAGGGTCTCCCTGCACAAGGAGAACAGCATAGCTCAGTGAGGTTAGCCGAGGTTCTCAAAGGCAGGCAGCTGGACATTGAGAGGCTGGAAAGTGACAGGCTTCCCCACTGAGCTCTCTTTCCCCGGCTCCTCTGCCTCCCAAGTCCACCTGCGGCTCGCTTCCCTTGTCCCTGTCCCTGGAGCTGCTGAGATGTCTGGGGTATCAGGGAACCCACTGGGCTCTCATCAGAGAGAAGGCGTGGGTTCTGGGCTATTGGCCGAGGCCCAGTGGGACGCCTTTCCCTCATCTGAGCAGAGCATGTGCTCTGGGGTTCTCCTGTGAGACGCTACCTGAGCCTCACCCCGTCTCCCTGCAGCCTATGAAGCCCCTGGCCCAGGACCTAGACCTGAAGGGGCGGAGCCTGGAAAAGACAGTCACAGTGAGAGCGCGTGTGGCCACCAAAGCTGTCCGAGACCTTCAAGCCACTGCCCAGACGGTGCTGCAGAAGATCAAGCCCTTCACACAGGTTTGAAGCAGGGCACCTGGGGTGAGGGGGATCGGGGTGGGGAGGGCCACAGGTGATCTCAGATTGGGGATTGCAGTGAGGAGCAGAGGCCAGAGAGCCTGAGGGCCACCAGAGCTGTGTTAGACTGGGTTGTCCAGAGAAACAAACCAGTGACACTCGTCTCTGAAGGCCCTGGACATCAAGAAGGAGCCCCAGCTCAGTCCAACTCACACTCATAGGGCCCAAGCTGGCTGGGGCCTCAGACTCACGGAGCTGCGGGCTGGTGCGCTGAAAGGTGCAGTGGGAAGCACGTTGATCGTGGGCCGGTGGGTGCAGAGATGTGTGGACCCAAAGTTGGTGGACACACAGCAGGGCACCGGCAGCTCTCCAGGTTGGCGGCCCGTACGGGGCCACGGCTGGAGGTAGGCATAGAGCCCGGGCAAGGATGATGGTGAAGGGCAAGACAGCAGTTCCCAGTGTCTCTCACTCTTAGATAAAAGACCACACCCCCAAGGAGGTGTCATCAGGCTACCATTTGACTGACAGGTCAGGCTCCACCCCTGTCTCCACACAGGCAACGTCAAGTTGACATAAAATCAAGAGCCAAGGTCTCAAAAGACTCACTGCTATCAAGAGGATTCTGACTTACAGCCACAGGTGTCCTGAGATTAAGGGAGAGCAGGGGAGGGGATGATGGCTGCAACTAGCGGAAAGGAGCATGTAGGACCATATTCAATAGGCCTTACAACTGGGGGGGGGAGTAGTGGTTACGTGTCCAGCTGCTTCCCTCAAGGTCAGCAGTTCGAGACCACCAGCCACTCTGAGGGGGGGAAGATGAGGCTTTCTAGTCCCGTCAAGATTTCTTGTTTCTAAACCCATGAGGGCAGTTCGGCCCTGTCCTGTAGGGTCGCTAAGAGTCAGAATCGGCTTGATGCAGTGAGTAGTTATAACTGGGATGGCTCTTCACCCATTCAGCACCCTCAGCGGGCCGTCACTTCCGCTCCTGGGAGTGAGCCACCGCTTGACATCTGTAGCCCAGCAGGAGAATCACGGGGCTCCAGAATTACACGGTGCTTGGGTGGAGAGCGGATGTTTTGAGAAGGATGAGGGCAATGAATGTACAAATATGCTTTACACAATTGATGGATGGATGGGTTGTGATAAGAGTTGTATGAGCCCCAATAAAATGATTTTTTTTTAAAGAATTACCTGGTGAACTGTGTCTACTCCAGGGTTGCCAACCTATTCAAATACAAAACACATAGATAGATATTTTATAAAAACAAAGTTGTTAAAATATAAAATGAAAAAATCATTCTAGACTCAAGGGGGGAATTGGCAAACGAATACCGAGAATTCTCCTAGACCCATCTTCACCCGGTATTAACATTTTCCCTAAACTCAGCATTTAAGTGTTAGCCTCAAGAGAGTCGCTGTGAGTCCGCATGGATGCGAAGGCTTGGTTTGGGGTACCTGTGACCCACACATGCTCTGTAAATAAATCCGCGGTATCCGAGTTTCCCTTTAGTTCTTCAGCTCCAGCTATCCGCTGAGCATTTCTGCTGGGACAGGTAACCTCTCAGGTGATAGGTTTAAGGATTTAACATCTGTGTAAGAAAGTAAACCAAACCGACTGTGGTAGCGATTGTCCAGCCCTGCTGGATCTGATTGAACGATGGAATGGTGTGGTGTCTGGATTAGCCCCTAAGAAAATGGTTCAGAAGGGAAAAAAAGAAGAGAAATCAGGTGCTGCTGGCAAGCAGCTTCAGCACGTAGGGGGTGTTTGGGGACCCCCATACGTGGGCTTGATGCTGGCCCGGCCAGTCTTCAGGTAGTCACCTGAGCTGGGGCCTCTCCCTTCTCTGCACAGCTGCGCCAGGAGGCCAGAGCCGCGCTGACCCAGGCTTCCTGCTCTGTCCAGGCTGCCACAGTGACTGTCAGGGGAGCCAGGACTCTGCGGGCTGACCTGGAAGGTATGGCTGTCCTGCTGGACCAGAGGCTCTGGGGCCCACAGGAGCCCATGGCAGGCCACCCCCACCCCCCTGATTCTTGCCTTTGCAAGGGAACACAAGTCCATTCCCTCCTCTCTCAGGACCTCTGCCATGCTGCTCATTTCTCCCCACTTCACGTGCCACTCACTCGGGGACTTGTCCCTGTGCCCCTTTCCAGGCAACCCCCTGCGCCATCAGGCTGCAGTGTCACTCCCGTCCCATGGGGCTGGATGTAAAGAGAATCCGCTGCCGTCTGCTGTCCATCCTTGGTGCTGTCCACCCGGGCTAGGGTCAGGTCCCTGGCCATGGCTGCCTTGGTCCAGTATGGGAAGTGGCTTCCCGGGTGCTGTGTAGTCACCCAGATGAGGACCAACCTCAAACCTCTGAGCCAAGGCCCTTTTTCCATTTCCCCCCATTTTGGAGACCCCCTCTCTTGCCACCAGTTCACATGCTCCGTTCCTGTTCAGGATAAGGGAACATGGACATGTATTTCCCAGGATGGGCTTAGGGTCTCCTAGCTCATGACAGGCTCTGCCAAGAGAATTTATGACAAATAAGTTTAGGAAACACTATGCCCTCATATTGCACTCCATATGAAAACTGAAACGAAACTCAGTGCCATTGAGTCGGTCCCGATCCCCAGGGGCCCTACTGGTCAGAGGAGAAATGCCCCCTTTGGGGTTTCCAGGCTGTAAATCTTAATGGGAGCAGAAAGCCTTGCCTTTCTCCCTTAGAGGGACTGGTGGTTTCAAACTGCTGACCTTGAGGTTAGCAACTCAGTGTATCACCACAGTGTTAAAAGGCTCTTCACTCATTAAAGGCTCCAAGAAGTCTGGAAGAAGCCCTGGTGGTGCAGTGGGTTAAGCACTGGGCTGCTAACCACAAGCTCAGCAGTTCAAACCCACCAGACCCTCCGAGGGAGAAAGATGAGGCTTTCTACTCCGGTATAGAGTTGCAATCTTGGAAATCCACAGAGGCAGTTCTACCCTGTCCTACAGAGTCCCGCGGAGTCCGAATGGGCTTGTTGACAGTGAATTTGGTTGGTTATACATTGGGCTGCTCTCCACAAGGTCTACAGTTCAAGCCCATGGGGCCTTCCTGCAGAGAAAGGTGACATGACTCTCCTGACACAGCCTAACCTTGCAGGAATACAGCTGCAGTTCCCTCAGATCAAGGACCAGGCCTTGCTGAGGAGAAAGGCAGGCACCATCCGGGACAGGCTCCTGGCAGACACGAAGAAGAAGACCAAGCAGGTGGAGAGGATGCTGGGAAATGCAGCACCTGTGTCCTCCAGCGCCAAGAAGAAGGGCAGAGAAGCAGAGCAGTTGGCCAAGGACAGTGCCAAGGTCAGGGCTGCAGACATGGCCGTGGCGGCTACTTCCTTACCTCTGGGCCTGTGAGAGAACTGTCAAGAACCGGCCCCCCTCTTGTAGGTCAGACATGGCCCCCCAGTTCTGTCCCAGTCCCCAGGATGTGACATACAATAGTTCACACTTGTAACAGTCCAAGCTCTGAGCTCAGGTGCCTCATGTGAATGACCTTGTGTCCTCATGAAGTAGGTTATTGCCACAGGTAAGGACACTCAGGCCCAGGGTGTCCAGTAACTAAAATCTGGCCGAGACGCACACCCAGGTCTGTCTGCTTTCCCTGCCCACACCTCTAGGGGGTTCCTTTTTCATTGGGGCTCAGTTTGACTCCCTAAGTGTCCCCCCACC